AGATAGATGATGGATGATAGAGATAGAGAGATGGACAGAGAGAAAGAGAGAGAAGGAGATATATATATAGAGAGAGATTATAGGTGGTAGGTAGGTAGGGAGATATATATATATATATATGATAGTGATGATAGAAAGATAAAGATATAGATGATAGAGATAGAAAGAAAGAAAGAGAGAGAGAGAGAGAGAAGGAGAGAGATAGAGAAGGAGAGAGATAAAGAGGATAGATAGACTGAGTTAGAGAGATATAAAGATAAAGAGGTAGATATAGATAGATGATAGATAGTTCAAGCTCTCTCTCTATTGAACTGTAAAAATATCCTGTTAACCCAATTAAAATCAATAACAGAAGCAAGAAAAGATACAAATGGTAAACAATACAGTAAAAGAATATAAAAAGGATAGAGAAAAACAGATAAAATACTAATAGTGATTACAGCATTCCCAGTTTTTTTTAACTGCTTTAAATAGTAAGATAAGGTTGGTTAAACAATTATTCCTTTTAAAGATCCATGAATTAGAGAATCTATCACCGCTAAATAAAACTGACAGGGCAATGCATTTCCCTAATAGCTGATTAAATCTAGGGGCTTCTGAGCACAAGAAACATTGACGGATTAGTGACCAAATCTGGAAGAAACTCTGATTTGATTAAATTTAACAATTTAGGCAGAAGGAATGTTTCCCCAAGATGCAAGTCTGTGTAAAAAACAGTGTTATTTTTCAATCTCTGCCAGTTTGGCTGGCTGGGGAATTCTGGGAGTTGAAGTCCACCCGTCTTAAACTGTCCTGAGATTGGAAAAAAAACCCCACTGGTTTAAAAGGAAGATTTCTGTAATCTTGCAAACCTAGGTTGGTGTTTGGGGTTGGAGGCAAATGAAATATCCTTAAAAGAGCACGCCTACAGGTAGTCCTTGACTTATGACCCTAATGGAGCCTCCCATCGCCATCCTAAATCGTGAGGATAGCAAAGCAAAGTCATCGCGTTACTTACAAGGCAAAATGGAACCAGGCGTCCGAGAGGATCGTTTGCAGATCGGAAGGCCGTAGCAAGAATATGGCTACACTCTGCAGGAGGAAATACACACAGGATACAAAAGATGTATTTATTTATTTTGTAAATTTTTTATTTTATTTTTAACACAAACCATCCATCGTCCATTAAACAGTATATTGGTTGGGTACAAATATCTTGTGCAATAACAATTGAAGTCTCCAGCCATAATTATTACATTAGTATTAATTCTCTACTCTTAACTTATTACCAGGGGTGGGATTCATATTTCTTAACAACCGGTTCGGTGGGCATGGCCTAATTTGTGGGTGTGGCTTGGTGGTTGTGTGACTGGCTGAGCATGGCTTGTATTATAAATATTTATGTAAATATTGATTTTTTTTATATAAAAAAGCAACTCTTACCCAAAATTACACAAAGCAGGCAGGCAGATTGAATTGCTCACAGAATCACAGATTCACTCAGAGATATACCATTCTGCAATCTGCTACCTGAGTCTGTCACATAAAATTTGCTTGCAAGCAAACTCATAAAATTTGCTAGCAAGCAAACTCACAAAATTAACTCACAACACACCATGTATGTAAATATTGATTTTTTTTATTAAAAAAAAAGAGCAACTTTTACCCAAAATCAGGCAAAGCAGGCAGGCAGATTGGGTTGCTCACAGAATCACAGATTCACTCAGAGATCTATCTTTCTGCCATCTGCTACCTGAGTCTGCACTGAAAAATAGAAGCTTCAGTCCTAAGGAAGGTTCAGCTCTGCTTTTAGATTAGCTAGAAAGCAAGAAATCCAACCATTTCCTGCTTTCTAGCTAATCTAAATATCCCAGCACAGCTGATTGTCAGAACAGCTGATGGTCGGGGGGAAAAAAGGAAAAATAGCAATTTACCAAATGCAGACAAGTTTGATGGCGGCGCATGCCAGGTAAAGAGTGGTAGGGGTAGGGAGGGACCAGCCAGTGGTGCAATTTGCCAGTCTCCCAAACTGCGCAGAATCATAACAACTGGTTCTATAGAACCAGTCTGACCAGGTAGAATCTCACCCCTGCTTATTACTGATATACATAATATATCTAATTATTATAAAATCCTCATATTAGCATATTTATCTCTATGAACATATTTTCTATATTTCACTCATCTTCTTTTGTTTCTAACTTTCAAACTTATTCTCTAACCATCGATGGAATGATTCCCCTATCATACAATACTCAGTTTGTTCCTTCTCTTTAATTGCAAGTGTTAACTTATTCATTTCTGCACATTCTACTAATATTTTCCTGATCACATTCTCTTCAGTAGGGATCTCTTCACTTTTCCAATTTTGTGCAAATAGAATTCTAGCTGCAGTTAATACATGAATAATCAAATATACTGTCAACTCATAAAATATTTCCATGGTCTTTTTAGAGTTGCCAACAGAAAGGGAGGGGAGGAAAGGGGTTTGAAAGAGCCGTGCGGCAGCTTGGAAATCGAAAGTGAATTCCATAAATGGTTTTTCAAAGATAGTAACCAGGTGACTGAAGTTTCTGCACGGAAATATCTAACTGGAGAGCATGATTGATGACTCTGGGCTATGGATGTGTCCCATTGGAGAATATGAATGATGATACACCCAGGGGGGGTGGGGGGAAAAACCAGGGTCAAGGCTGACAATGAATGATGTGCTTCAGAGTCGGCTACACCCAGGCAGTGCCGGACACGTTAACTCCCAATAAATCCTTTTGAAGTTTTGAAAGTTTGACTTGAGACTCATGATTTAATTGGGGCAACTGCCGGAATCCTGACACATGCATTCTCTTTACTATAAATTTCACGCAAGATCCCCAATAAGAATATTAAATCCTCTGTTAGAGAGAAATTTTCCCTGAAGGTGAAATTCCAGCAGGTATCTGAAAACTCAGAAGACAAAATCTTCCCTCCCGGGGACCGACCCCAGATTGGATCCTGCAACTTTTATCCTGGGACGTGTAGATTCACTTTCATTCATGAGGAATATTCCGATCAGTGCTTACCTCTTTAATAGCAATAAACACGGCTCCCAAAATAACCATGGCTTGTCCCGCCAACTGCAGCCAATTCAGTTCTCCGATCAGCGCCAGAGGGTATGGGGGAGGCTAGAGACGAAAAAGAAAATCAGAAAAAAAATCAGAATTAGAGGCAGTCCTCACCTTACAAACATTCATTCTGTGTGACTTCCTAACAGTGAGGGCAATTAATCAGTGGAACAGCTTGCCACCAGAAGTTGTGGGTGCTTCATCACTGGAGGTTTTTAAGAAGAGACTGGACAATCGCTTGTCTGAAATGGTATAGGGCACCTTTTGGACCTCAGGGAACACCAAACTCATAATTTAAAATCCTGCAGACCAGAGACCCTGGGAAAATCCCCCAAAAAGTCTGCAGGAAAATTCCCCACCCTATTTTCCTACCTATTGATCGTTCTTTATTTGGGATCGCAGGATACCATCTCCAGCCCTGTTCTCAGAGTGAGAGAGAGAGAGAGAGGGAGGGAGGGAGAGGGAGAGAGAGAGAGACTTTTGATTTCATGCAAGGAAAGCAGCAGAAGCAGCAGAAGTCTTTCTTTCTCTCCCCCAAACTCTGCCAGAAATGAGTCTTTGTGAGACTTGTTGCACCGGCGGAGCCTCTTGGAGCGGGATGCCTTGCAGGGTCCCAAAGACTCATTTCTGGCGGAGTTTGGGGGAGAGAAAGAGAGACTTTTGCTGCTTTCCTTGTATGTAGCCAAAAGCAGAAGAAGAAAGAAAGAAGCGGAGAGAAGCAACCTGGTGGCCAGGCCAGGCGTGTGGGGCAAGTGGGGCAAGTTCCCCCACCTTCCTCCCTTTCCCTCCTCCCCTCACTACCTCATGTTGTTCCTAATGCAAGCAACGCAAGCCTTGTGTTCCCGTGGGCCATGAGGGCGGCGCAGCCTCGTGTTCCCGCGCAGCCTGGATTAATTGCTTTGGGGGTGACATTTCTCTGCGGACTACCAAAATTTTCTCGCGGACCACCAGTGGTCCCCAGCCCACTGGTTGGCCACCACTGGTATCAGATCTCCTGCTTGAGCAGGGGGTTGGACTAGAAGACCTCCAAGGTCCCTTCCAGCTCTATTCTGATTCTGGCTACCTCTATTTATAATCCTTGCCGCATCCCGAGGTTACGTGATTTGCCCTTTGCAGCTTCCCCAGCCAGCTTCCAACCGACAAAGTCAGTGGAGGACACCAGATTCGCTTAACAATGCCGTGATTCACTTAACAATGGCAGCAATGCACTCAGCGACCATGCCAGGCAAGAGGTCATAAAAGCAGGCGCAACTCACTCAACAACCCACCTCGCTCAGCCATGGGAATTCTGCTCCCAGTTGCGGTCGTACATTCTAGGACAGGGGTGTCCAACCTTGGCTGAGGAATTCTGGGAGTTGAAGTCCACAAGTCTTAAAGTTGCCAAGGTTGGACACCCCTGTTCTAGGACTACCTATAGATGGGAGTTTATGAAAGATGGCTCCCCCGGGGATCCACCTGCCCAGAATACCTGCTTCGTGTGAGGCCTGTAGTAGGAGATCAACGTCAAGATGAGGTTGTAGATGAAGTACAGGCAGCAGGAGAGGAAGAAGAGGTGCCGGGCGAATCTTTTCCACTTCATCCGGAGTAAGGAATGAAGCGGTTCCAGAGCCAGCATTTCGTGACGATTCTGTTTTGTGGAGGGGTGGAAATGGATTAAAAAGGGAGAGAGATCATCTATCTCTTCAGCTGTTCTGACCCATGCCCTTTTCCAACAAATCAAACACAATTCAAAAGGAACAGAAACCTTATAATGCTTTTACAAAATAATTACAAAATAATTAGCGGTGATAAGCACAAGCCTTGCCAAACTGTGCCAGACTTGCCAAAAGATAAGAGACAAGAAATAATTTGCAATACAAGAATCTTCAAATACAAACTCAGGATACTGGAATGTCCACGAGGCTGGAGTTTCAAAACGTCTTTGCCTTCTGCAAAGAATGTTTGTTTCACAGCTGGCTTTTATCTTCTTGAAGGAGGGGCCATTATCTTGCAGCCTTACTCCCGAGTCGCCCATGCTGTTGTAGCTGCTCTTTCCTGCGAGCAATCCTGCGCTCACATACAGTTAGCACAGGCTCCTCGGGAACCTCCTCATCACTGCTGCCAGCCCCCACAATCTCTGAAGGCAGCAGTCCACTCCCTAATGGTCCTGGCCCCTCATCTGAGTCCTCGCTCTCCTCCGCCATCCACACCTGCTGTCGGCTAACCACAACATCAGGTTAATCCAGGCAAAATAATCAGTTCGGGCGAACCGATACCCTAATTTTATCATTTTTAATTACCGGTTCGGTGAACCGGTAAATCCCACCCGGGGTTATGTGATCCCCTTTTGAGACCTTCTGATGAGCAAAGTCAAGGGGGGGGGGGAAACCTGATTCGCTTAATGACCATATGACAAACTTAACAACTGTGATTCCCTTAACGAGCACGGCAAGAAAGGTGGCAAAATGAGCCAAAAGGCACTTCACAATTCTTGCTTAACAACCGTGACACTAGTTCAACAACTACAGCAATTCACTGAACAAATGTGGCAAGAATAGTCGTAAAATGGGGCAAAATTCACTTAGCAACTGTCTCGCGTAGCAACAGAAATTCTGGGCTCAATTGTGGTTGTAAGTTGAGGATGATCTGTATTTTTATATATTTCCATCTATTTCTACACATTATTTCTCCTGTATTCCCATTATTGTCTCCAGTTCTTTATTCTGGTCTCCTGTTAAATTTTTAGACATTAATTTCGTTTTTCCCCTATTAATTTTAAATCCTGCGACTTCTCCAAATCGTTCTAGTTCTTCTAATAAGATATGTCCTTTTTCTATGGGCTCCTCCAGAAAAAAACCCAAATCGTCAGCGAAGGCTTGTACTTTATACTCTTCTGATTTAATCCTCAGTCCTCTAATTCTCGAATTTTGCCTAATATACGTCAAAAGAGATTCTAGGGCGAATATGAAAAGCAGAGGAGAGAGAGGGCAACCCTGTCTTACCCCTTTTTCTATTTTTATCGGGCCAGTTTGTTCCCCATTTATTAGAATATTTGCCTGTTGGGTGTGGTAAATTGTAGTGACGACGTTTTCGAATCTAGTGCCGAGGTTCATCTTGTATATTTTTTGAATTAAAAAATGCCAATTTAAATTGTCGAATGCTTTTTCAGCGTCCAAAAACATAAATGCAAATTGTTTTTCCGGATGGGCTTCATAGAATTCTGAAATGTCGCCATAGGAACAAAGAAGAAAGACCCGTCCAAACTCAAGGGAAAGACAACTTACAACAAGAAAGAGTAGAAACATCCCCATATCAACCACAAGAAGAGAGTCGTATAATTACGAGACAAAAAGCGAGGCAGACTTAAGTAAATGGAGGAAGGAAGGAAAATCCTTTCCATCAATATAAACGGCCTAAATTCAAGAGCTAAAAGGAAGAGGATTCTAACCAAACTAATAAAACAAAACGTTGATATAATTTGCATACAAGAAACACACATTAGGAAAAGTGAGGAGAAATTTCTAGATTGTCCAAAACTGGGAAAATTATTTACAGCACCAGCAGATAAGCACAAAAAGAAAGGTATTGCAATATATATGAGAGATGATTTAAAAGCGGAATTAATCTGGGCGGACCCTGAAGGAAGAACTCTGGTGGTACAAACTTCAATTAATGGCATTACATTTTTACTGGTAGTAATCTATGCCCCAAATGATGATCAAGGTAAATTTTTCAAACATCTCCACCAAAAAATAATAGATTTCGAAAAAGGCAATATTTGTCTGATTGGCGATTTTAACTCTATTGCTGACTACCGGAAGGATCATAGTAACATGAGTAAGAATAAAAAAGGAAAAAGAGAATTTTCGAAGCCATGTAAGGATATGATGAATGAACTGAATCTGGTAGATATCTGGAGAAAACTAAACCCCCAAAAAGAACAGTTTACTTATTACTCTAACCCACACAAAATTTGGACAAGAATAGATATGGCTTGGATAAATGGTGAATTAATTAATGAAATCAAAGATAGCGAAATCTTACCAAACTACTGGGCTGACCACAACCCAATTCAAATAACCTGGAGAGGTAGAAGAAAACCAAAGAGAAGATGGACTCTTAATACTCACTTAATAAAAGAAGAAGAATATACTAATAAAGTGAAAGAAGAACTGAAATTCTTCTTAAAGGAAAATAATAATGAACTAACTTCGAAACAAAATATATGGGACACAATGAAGGCATTTATAAGAGGAATAACAATCTCTTACAACGCTATGAGAAATAAAAGAAAGTATGCCCAACAAAGTAACTTACAACAAGAAATTAAGGATTTAGAAACCCAACTACAAAAGAACCCCAAAAATCAAAGAATACAGAATCAGTTAATAACAACTAAACATAAACTAAATTTACTGGAACAAGAAAAATTGGAGATTAGTCTGAAAATGACCAAACAAATTTATTTTGAGCATGCAAACAAGCCAGGGAGATGGCTAGCCCACAAACTTAAAAAAACGAAAGAAAAAAGAACAATACACCAATTAATAGACGAGAGGGGCAATTTGCAAGAGGAGATAGAGAAGAAAAAAGAGATCACTTTCAAATACTTTGGGAAATTATACAAAAAGAAAGAAGTCTGTGAGGACAAAATAATGAAATACCTAGAGGAAGCGAACGATAAAGCAATTGGAGAGGAAGAGATAGAATTATTAAACAAAAATATAACATGGTCCGAACTGAAGTCAGCAATAGAGAAGCAAAGTAACAATAAAGCGCCAGGACCGGATGGGATACCTGTAGAACTTTACAAAACAATCATAGAACAAATTGGACCACTGATGCTGGAAGTATTCAATGAGGTACTCCTAGTAGCCAAGATGCCGGACTCGTGGAGGGGAGCCTTAATTTCGCTGATCCCGAAGGAGGACCTAGATCATAGACGTATTAATAATTATAGACCAATCTCGCTCCTGAATGCAGATTACAAACTATTCTCTTCTATAATAGCCAATAGACTAAAACAGGTTTTAAACACACATATCCCTGAAGATCAAAATGGATTTCTCCCATTTCGACAAATTAATAATAATCTACACATTATTTCTATCTATTTCGGTTTATATTTATTTCCATTATTTTTATATATATTTCTATTTATTATTTTAATATTTCTGTTATTTTTATATATTTCTACATATTATTTCTATATTTCTAATATTACTATCTATTTCTATTTATTTCCATTATTTTTATATATTTCTATTTATTTCCATTATTTATATATTTGTTATTTCTATATACTTCTACTTCTACATTTCTATATTTCTAATATTACTATATACTTATATTTCTATTTAATTCCATTATTTTTATATATATCTCTATTTATTTCCATTATTTTTATATATATATTTATATTTATTTCCATTACTTTATATATTTCTATTATTTTTATATATTTCTACATATTATTTCTATATTTCTATTACTACTATATATTTCTATTTCTATTTATTTCTACTATTTTTATATATTTCTATTATATATATATTTCTATTTCTATTTCTTTTTGTGTTTTTAAGCCTGACTCCCCATCAGGGGCAAAATTCATTTAACAACTGTTTGGTTTAGCATAAAAAAAAATTTAAGCTTCAATTGTCATTATAAGTCAAGGACTGCTGAAAATAATTGCACTTCCTGTCCAAACAGACATTTTATTCAGCAAGTGGCACAATTTATGCTAGAAATTAAGAAACGTGGGGCCCTGAAGGCATCTCAAATGAATGAGAACATCAAGAGTGACACTGAATTTTTTAGCCTGTCCACCCTGGTAAATAAACCAGAATTAAACTAAGGTTTACGGGAGATGTGAAGCTTCAAGACTGATGCTGCATCTGTTGTCTTACGGATTTGAACCCCTCCCTTCTGATGCCTCTGGGATGTTTCCAAGATTTTTGGAAGCCTGCAAGGAAGGCCTGGGTTGGTTTTGATTCTGTCTCCACTACCAGCTGGATCAAAAGCCACAACAACATTTTTTTAAAGAGGTCTTCACCCCAGGAATACAACTTGTCAAGCCACGACAGCTGGGCTGCCAACTGAATATGATGAATGCAGCATTAAAAGATATCTATAAAATTCCTGAATACAAATGCCAAATATATACATATATATAGGTCCCACTCGCCATCTTCAGGCTGGTGCTTTTGGCTTCGTGCTTGTGGGAGCAAAGCGTGATCGGAGCTGCTGTCTCTCTATAAAGACTGGTGGGGAGGTGCTAGCTCTGTTGTAAGCGGGCTGGTTGTCTGTGTTGTTATTTCTTGATTGGTTGATGGAGTTGATGTTTGCAGATTAGTTGGCTTTTTCGTAAGAACCTGTGTGGCTGACGTACTGGCTATGTGTCTATCAGCCTCCTGTGTTGTAACGACCTGGGTAATGGGCTGTGTGATGACCTTCTGAGTTCTATTGTTTTGACATCCTGGGTCTTGTGCTGTAATCTCTTGGGTCATTGGCTGTGATATATATGTTTTCTTAAGTTTTCGCGGGTACTTACATGCATGGTATTCAGCTTTGTTCGGGTATTTTCCCACGTCATTGTAGTTGTGCTTTTAAAGTTGTAGCAATGTTTCGGCAGAATCTCATCTGCCATCATCAGGCTTCTGTATAGTGTTCATCTGTGAGTCAGACTTTCACAGCCATTTCAGTTTTAAATTTGGGGCAGCCTACTGCTGTGCCAGAATGGTTTTTTCTTCATCCTGATTGGTTGTTAGTCTTGGTCTGTGTTTATTGGTCTTGGAGTTTGCTGTGTTCTGCTTGATTGGTGTTTCTAATATCTTCTGTCTGTTTTGTGGCTCTTTTTGTGTCTTGATTGGCTGGCAACATTGTGTTCCAGTATTGGAGGCCTTTAGTGAAGCTTGACTCTGAGTAAATGGACGGCTATCATTTGTTAGGAAGCTAGGTTTCATCTGGGTGCCTGGTTGGGGTGTGTTTGAGCTGGAGGTATCAGGGGGGATCTGTTTGTGCCCAGGTGTTTGCCTGGCTAGTGGTGTGGAGATTTTTTTGTTGGTGAGTGCAGGCTTCCAAATGATTGACAGTCTGGTGGAATCATCTCTTCTATTCATGCTTTCTGGTCTTTTTTCAATCTCTATGGCTTCTCTGATGATTCTGTGGCTGGGGTTTTCTATAGTGGCTAGGGTTTTGGTGCCATTGAAGTTGACTCAACTTCAATCTGAGAAGCACAGAGCTGAAGACACAAGCCTGAAGATGATGAATGAGACTTCATCGAAACGTTGCCTAGATACTTCCAATCTTACGCGGGAGAAAACCCGAATAACCAAAGATCCACATACAAATACCCGCGAGAACCTCAGAAAACATATATTATATATACACACACACACACAGTATTTATGTATATAAAAGTTATATATATATATATAACTTTGGGCATTTGTATTCAGGAAATTCAGTTCAAAATAGTGACAGGGGCAGGACGGGTGGAAAGACCTTATGCATCTTTGAGGGAGGCCAGGTCAGGAAACAGACCCACAATAAACAAACAAACACACACACACACACACACAAGGTAAAAGTTCCCCTTGCACATGCGTGCTAGTCGTTTCCGGCTCTAGGGGGCGGTGCTCATCTCCGTTTCAAAGCAAGCACTATCCGAAGACGTCTCCGTGGTCATACGGCCAGCATGACTAAACACCGAAGGCGCACGGAACGCCGTTTCCATTCCCACCGGGTTGGGATTCAAAAATCCCAGCGACCAGTTCGCTGCCCGGTTGCTGGGTGGGTGGGGCCATGGTAGGGGGGGGGGGGAGGCTACCGGAATTTGCTGTTTCCGGCTTCAGATGGGTCTCCAGAGCTCAGGGGAGGCCGTTTTCACTCTCCCAAGGGCCCAGAGGCCTCTCCCGGGCATCTGGGAGGGTGAAAACAGCCTCCCCCAATCTCTGGAGGCCCACTGGAAGCCCGAAACAGGCCCATTTCTGGACTTCCAGAAGGCCCATTTCTCCCTCCTCCCAGAGCCTCTGCACGGATCCTGCACTTAGCTCCATTGAAAATGGGATGCTTGGAGAGGGGAGGAGAGGGGTGGGAGGGGCGGGGCCAACTAGTTGGTTGAAATATCAGTTCGGCGAACCAGCTGTAACTTTAACATCCGGTTCACCCGAACCGGTCTGAACCGGGTAGAATCCCACCCCCAGCTTCCCATCAAAATGGCTCCTATTTTTCTACTTGCATTTTTTTTTTACATGCTTTCAAACTGCTAGGTTGGCAGAAGCTGGGACAAGGAACGGGGGCTCACTCCGTTACGCGGCGCTAGGGATTCGAACTGCCGAACTGCCGACCTTTCTGATCGACAAGCTTTGCGCCTTAGCACTTGAGCCATTGCATCCCTACATCCATACATAAAACCAGTTAGTCCTCGACTTATAAGACTTTGTTCAGTGACTGTTAGAAGTTGCGACAGCACTGGAAAAAGTGATTTATGGCCGTTTTCACACGTATGACCATTGCAGCATCCCCGTGGTCACATGATCAAAATTCAGACAACTGACTCATGTTTATGACGGTCACAGTGTCCCGTGGTTTTGAGATCCCCTTTTGCGACCTTCTGACAAGTAAAGTCAATGGGTAAGCCTGATTCACTTAACAACCCTGTTCCTAACTTAACAACTGCAGTGATTCGCTTAACAACTGTGGCAACCAAGGTTGTAAAATGGGGCAGACTCACTCAACACATTTCTCACTTAGCAAGCCGGATTCACTTAATGGCCTTATGATTCCCTTAATACCTGCAGTGATTCGCTTAAAAGGGTTGTAAAATTGTGTGGATCATGTGGGAGCAATGGAAATTTTGAGTTCAATGTTGGTTGTAAGTCGAGGACTACCTGTAAATCTCTTGATTAAAGGCCGCTGGCCGAGACCTGATTTAATAATTCCCTTTGTTCCTGAGTCATGTTCTCTTTGCTGGAAACAAGATCAGATCTCCAGCTCTTGTGTGATATTTGTGTGGATTCTATTTGTGAGATGCTGACATATGGACTGGCTGGGAACCCTGACCTGGATCTCAGGACTTGGGACTGTTTTTTGATTATTGTTCCATGTGCATCTATTATATAACCATTTATGTCAACCTCTTTCAGACAGCCTGTTTTGCATTCGTTGTCTGTGGCAATTCCCCATTTCTGGGAGGTGAAGTTCACACATCTGAAATCTGCTAAGATCGAGAAACACTGGCTCAGGCTTTTAACAGGGGTTTCCTGAAATTCAATCCTTACACACCTCCCCCAAATGTGAAAATGTACCAAACAGGAGCGTGATAAAGTTTGAAAAGTGCTGTAAGTATCCATTTCAATCCTTATAGCCCCTAATGAAAAGATAGATACAGAGAGAAAATGTGTGTGTGTGTGTGTGTGTGTGTGTGTGTGTGAGAGAGAGAGAGAGAGAGAGGGAGGGAGAGGGAGAGAGAGAGAGAGAAAGAGAGAGAGAGAGAAAGGGAGAAAAGGAGAGCGGAAGGGAAAGGAGAGAGAGGAAGAAAAGACAAAGAGAAAGAGAGGAAAGAGAGAGAGAAACAGAGAGAGAGAGAAACAGAGAGAGAGACAAAAGAAAGAAAGAAAGAAAGAAAGAAAGAAAGAAAGAAAGAAAGAAAGAAAGAAAGAAAGAAAGAAAGACCTTGAAAAACGGAAGCACAGTTACTTTGAGAACACTCTGATCCAAGGACTTACCCCAATATTTGCATTATAGACAATGATATCCAGTAATGAGTTTTCTGAAGTGGTGTCCAATTCTGTGAGGTCATAAAGAGAGGACTGGACGGGGCCATAAGCCCAGTCGGTGAACTTCCTGGAAAGGCTACGGATGGGTTTTTCCTTGATTTCTCTGCTGAGAATGTACTTCAGAATCTAAAACGATCCAAGTCAAGAAAAGGACAAGTTAAGAGTCCAGACTGCATAAAGACAAGGAAGGGAGGTTTCAATATCTTTAAGCAGGGGTGGGATTCTACCAGTTCACACCTATTCGCTAGAACTGGTTGTTAACATTCTAAGCAGTTCGGAGAACTGGTTGTTAGAAGAAATTACTGGACTAATCCTGTAAGGAAGGCAGGAAGGAAACATTCTGGTGTTGCTTACAGAAACTGCCTCTCCGTTAACCCTTATTACATTCTTGGCAGGACTAGACTTCCTGTTTCAGGAACGTCTCTGGAGTTATTTTTCCCTCCTTTGCTGGTACTTTGCTTGTGTGGAGGGACCATTCAAAGTTACAATGGCACTGAAAAAAGTGACATGACCATTTTTCACACTTACGACTATTGCAGCATCCCCACAGTCATGAGAGGCCAGGCGAGGAGATGCGTGCCTCAATGTGAGTGATATTGAGTTGGCCATGCCCAGCCAATAACATGACCACTGAGCCACACCCACCACCTAAGCCACGCCCACAGAACCGGTTGTTAAAAAAATTGAATCTCACCCCTGACTTTAAGCCATGTGGACTTCAACTCCCAGAATTGCCCAGCCAATTTTCTTTAAAATAAGTGGACTTCAACTCCCAGAATTCCCCAGCCAGTATGCTTTAAGATGAGTGGGCTTTAACTCCCACCATTCCCAAGCCAGAGTGCTTTAAGCGGGGTGGATTTCAACTCCTGGAATTGCCCAGCTAGCCTTATACGCAGATGAATAGTCAAAATCCAGTCCAGAGTTCCAAAATCCAGATCAGGGTTGTCAGCCTGTCCAGAATCAGGATTTTCTCAAGCAGAATCCTTGCTGGCTGGAAAATTCTGGAAGTCCATATAGCTTAAAGTTGCTGAGGTTAACAAACGCTGTTTTAGGGTTACACATAGGCACTACGAAAAGTAAAATGGGGGTTCCTGGATATGAACTCTGCTCAAAAATTTGAGCCCTCTTCTCTGAAGAAAACAGAGGTTCAAGTTAAGGGCAGGATGTTCTCATGGAAGGGGTCAAAAGAGTCAAGATGGAGCCACAATGATGCAATGAAAGCTCTGGACAGCATCTTGATTTTTTAAAAATATCTCCTACTTAATGTATAATACAGTTAGTCCTCAACTTACAACCGTTCATTTAGCACATTTCAAAGTTATAATAGCACAGAAAAAAAATGACCAGTCCTCACACTTATAACTGACATAGCAACCCTGTGGTCATGTGATCAAAATTTTGGCACTTGGCAACCAGTGTGCATTGACATCCCTGATTTTTATGACCATTTTGCCATGGTTGTTAAGCAAATCACTGCAGTTGTGAAGAGAATCACACAGTCGTTAAGTGAATCCAGCCATCTGGAAAGGTCACAAATGGTGATCCTATGGCCCCGGGATGCTGCCACCTATCATAAATGTGAACCAGTTGCCAAGTGCCCAAATTTTGACCACGCAACCACGGAGATGCTGCGACCGTCGTAAACGTGAGGACTGGTCGTAAGTCCCTTTTTTTCACCGATGTGGTAACTTCAAAAAGTTACTAAACAAATGGTCGTAAGTCAAGGACTACTTTTATGTACAGGTAGTCCTCGAGTTACGACTACCATGGAGTCCAAAATGTATGTTGCCCCATTTTACGACCTTTCTGGCTGCGATTGTTAAGTGAATCATAGCCTTTGTTAAGTTAGTAACCCGGTCGCAAAAGGGGATCACGTGACCTTGGAACACAGCAACTGTCATAAGTATGAGTCAGTTGCCAAGCATCTGAATTTTGCTCACATGATCCTGGATTCCAGCGATCGCCCTAATTAAATCATGAGCCTTGAGCCAAACTTCAAAAAGCTTCAAAGAATTCATTAGGAGCAAACATGTTGGCATGACCTGGATGTAGCTGATTCTGAGACACATAATTCACTATCACCCTTGATCCTGGTTTCCCCTCCACCTGTTCTGATCCAAACCTTGTTCCAAGGAAACAACCATGAAACAGAGGTAACTTTTCATGATTCTTTACGAATTCCGTTCCTTCCCGATTAAAAGGCTATTTCAAACTAATTGTCTCTGGTAAGAATGAGCCTTGCCAAGGTGGTGCAAGGCTGCCAAGAACACTAGATAAAGTTGCCAAGAAATAGTCCAAACACCAACCAAGAGAGTCCGAATGTCCGCAAGGCTTGAGTGCAAAAACTTCTTTGCTTCCTGCAAAGAACTGTGGTTTCTCAGCTGGCTTTTATCTCTTTTATCTCTTGCAGCCTTACTCCCGAGTCACCCATGCTGCTGAAGCGGCTCTTTCCTTGAGCAGCCTTGTGCGCATGCACACTGGGCACAGGCTCCTCGGGGTCCTCTTCCTCACTGCTGCCAGCCGCCACAAGTGCCCCTCCGAAGGCAACACTCCACTCCCTGATGATCCTGTCCCCATCCCTGCATCCCACGCAGGCCCCTCATCTGAGTCCTCGCTCTCCGAGACCTCCGCCGTCTGCACCTGCTGCTGGCGAACCACAACATCACCCCTCTGGGTATATCATAATGTCAACTAAAAAAAATACTCCTTTGGTCTTTTTAGTTGCCAGCAGAAAGGGAGTGGGGGAAAGCAGTGCATTCCATAAATGCCTCAGATATTCGCCCAAAGCTGTTGGCGCGCAAGATTATTACTGGAGAGCATGATTGATGACTCTTGGCTATGGATGTGTCCCATTGGAGAATATACATCCAGGGGGTGGGGGGGAAGACCAGGGTCAAGGGGGGAATGAATGGTGTATTTTAGTATCGGCTGCACCCAGGTAATGCCAACACGGCCACTCCTAATAAATCAATTTTTTTTAACTCTGAGAGATGCGACCAGAGACTTATGATTTGAATGGGGGTGGATTTGTTGGAGCCCTGACACATAATTCATATTGTCCAATGAAACACGTTGTGATGACCCGGGGTGTGACACAAAAATAACCAAGGCACAAAAATAGAAGGAAGTTCCTTTAATGCCTCCAACTTGGCCCCAGTGTCCAACTATCCTTGGCTGGAAATCAAACTCTTAAAGAAAACAGTTTACGGAAGGAGTAAATGCAGTCCGCACCCAAAGTAAAGTTAATTCGAAATTTAAAAAAACCCAACACAAACCGCACTGAAGGAATTACTACTGACAGGCAAGGATGATTAATGGCAGACTTCTACCAGATAACGCAGCAACCACAGTTGGGAGGAAGCCAAAACAGTGATAAGGTCCGACAAGAATAATGCACACGTTGCTTCCAGCAACTTTTGCCATGCGCAGTTTGTCCTTTTAACCAGTCCTCCCAGCTGCAGCCCATTTAAGGGGATCAGGGCCCCTTCCTCCCCCTTAGACCATGCCACTCGTGTTTCTCCCTTATCCACTCCTCCCTGCGTGCCCTAGGATGAAAGGGGATGGGCCTGAGTTTTCCTCTGAATGCCCAGCCAGACTGTGCCCTTCCCCAGTTTCCTCCGCAACCACCGGAGCCACACTCCCACTCCCTGTCAGCTGTTCCATCTCCTTCTCCCCTTTCTGTTGGCAACTATAAAACGGCCATAGAAAATGTTTTATGAGTTGACACCTGGGGCTGGTGCAGAGGTTGTTAAGTGTGAAAAACGGCAACTTCCAGCAACTTTTGCCATGCGCAGTTTGTTCTTTTAACCAGTCCTCCCAGCTGCAGCCCATTTAAGGGGATCAGGGCCCCTTCCTCCCCCTTAGACCATGCCACTCGCGTTTCTCCCTTATCCACTCCTCCCTGTGTGCCCTAGGATGAAAAGGGGATGGGCCTGAGTTTTCCTCTGACTGCCCAGCCGACCTGTGCCCTTCCCCAGTTTCCTCCGCAACCACCGGAGCCACACTCCCACTCCCTGTCAGCTGTTCCATCTCCTTCTCCCCTTTCTGTTGGCAACTATAAAACGGGCATAGAAAATGTTTTATGAGTTGACACCTGGGGCTGGTGCAGAGGTTGTTAAGTGTGAAAAACGGCCGTTAAGTCACTTTTTTCAGTGCCGTTGTAACGGTCACTAACTGAACTGTCATAAGTCGAGGATTACCCCGTAGTTTGGCCTACCTCTAACTTCCCTGTTTTGGCTGCCAGCTGCAGAGGCGTTAAACCGTCTTTATTCTTCATTGTCTCCAAATCCCGGCTTCTGCTTTTCAAGAGGATGGCGTCGTACATCCGCCGGACAAAGTCGTTTTGGGTCTTAAAGTCTTCCGCCACGGTCACCAAGGCGTGGAGGATATTGTTCCCGCGGGCATCCTGAGACATGATGTCCGTCTTACTGTTCTCCATCAAGAGCTGGACGATGTCTGGCTGGTTGGTGCAGGCGGCTAACGCCAGAGGAGTCTCGCCTGCAATATAATTTTCATTTTTTTTTGTTCAGGTCCATGAAAGCTCAAAAACTTCAAAAATCTCACAAGATTTAAAGGAACACGGATACAAGTTTAATTAAAATAATATGGATGGATGGATGGATGGATTGGTAGGTGGATAGATCGGTGGGTGGGTGGGTGGGTGGATGAATGGATGGATGGATGGATACATAGATAAATAGATATAGATAGACAGACAGACAAGACAGACAGGCAGGCAGATAGATACATGAATAGAATAGAATTTAGAATAGAATAGAATAGAATAGAATAGAATAGAATAGAATAGAATAGAATAGAATAGAATAGAATAAACAGAGTTGGAAGGGACCTTGGAGGTCTTCTAGTCCAACCCCCTGCCTAGGCAGGAAACCCTCCACCACTTCAGAAAAATGGTTATCCAACATCTTTTTTAAAAACTTCCAGTGTTGGAGCATTCACAACTTCTGGTGGCAAGTTGTTCATTCATTCATTCATTCATTCATTCATTCATTCATTCATTCATTCATTCATACATACATACATACATACATTCATTCATTCATACATACATACATACATACACACATACATACACACATACATACATAAACAATAGATAGAGAGACAGAGAGTTGACAGATGGATAGAAAGATATAGATAGATGATGTAGATACACAGGCAGACAGACAAACAGGCAGGCAGGCAGGCAGATACAAAAAAAGGAGATAGGGTAGGATGGTTAGATAAGGTAGATAGACAGATAGAGAGAGAAAGAGAAAGAAAGACAGAAATAGACAGATAGGAGATAGGTAAGGATGGATACATAGAAAGGGAGACAGAGGGGCAGAGAGACAGAGATAAGGATGGGTGGATGGATTTGTAGATAGTAGATAAGAATTGATAAAAAATGGAAAGAGAAAGAAAGAAAGAAAGAAAGAAAGAAAGAAAGAAAGAAAGAAAGAAAGAAAGAAAGAAAGAAAGAAAGAAAGAAAGAAAGAAGGAAAGAAGGAAAAATAAAAATAAAAAGGGAGAGAGAGAGAGGGAGAGAAATAGGCACATAGATAAATAGACAGACTGGCAGAATTTGGAATGCAACAGACATCATCAGATCGTAGTTTGACAGCAGTTTGAAAAATGATGTGATAATTTGCCTTAAGAAAAAGTTTGGGAGCTTTGCATGGTATCCGAATACACAAGTATTTTTCTGTCAAGCAAGGAATAAAATAATTATGAAGCCAACAATCACACATTTATTTCACCAGACAGAAGAACTAAGATTGATCAGCGATTGCTAAAAATAATATTTTCTTTGTCATGTTTCATTTGTAACCACACCTTGATCAATAACATAAACTATCATGATTAAATCTTGATTTATTATTTAAGATGGGTTACCGGTATTATTATGCATTTATTAAGGAGTGGAACAAAAACAACAAAGGGAACATAACAAATTGGAATTCAGTACAATTCCCATCCCAGGAAACAAATCTTTATATTAAAGGAAGATGGGCAGTTAATAAACACAAAATAGAAACAAAACAAAACCAAAAATAACAGCATGACTATACACAACTTTTAAAACCACACACTGGAGTTTGGAGGACCACAAAAACGACTGTCACAATTTAGGATAATTGCGAGGCTAAATTAGCATTGCATGTCAAGGATGTAACTTTTGGTCATTGCTGTCCGGACGTTGCCATATTATGTGATTTATATTATTTATTCATATCCCGCCTTTATTATTTTTACAAATAACACAAGGTGGCAAATGTATCCAACACATATTCCTCCTCTGATTTTCCCCACAACAACAACCCCTGTGAGGTAGGTTGGACTGAGAGAGAGGGTCAGGCTCAAAGTTGAGTTCTAGTCCTGCTTTAGGTATGAAAACTGGCTGGGCCAATCACCGGGAGACTGTGAGTTCTAGTCCTGCCTTAGGCATGAAAGCCAGCTGGGTAACTTGGGGCCAATCACCAGGAGATTGTGAGTTCTAGTCTCCCCTTAGCCATGAAGACAAGCTGGGTGACTTTGGGACAATCACTAGGAGACTGTGAGTTCTAGTCCTGCCTTAGCCATGAAAGCCAGCTGGGTGACTTTGGGCCAATCACCAGGAGATGGTGAGTTCTAGTCCCACTTTAGCCATGAAAGCCAGCTCGGTGACTTTGTGTTAGTTGACCACTCTGGCTCGACCTGTTGAACAGCTTCTTTTCACCATACTCAGCTTCTGTCAGACCCTTACCAAAATAAAACCCTTCATGTTTGCGTTTGGGATTAAAGAACACGCCCTGGGCATGGGCGTTGACGTCCGCGCCTTTCTCGATCAGGGTCTGAGTGATGTCGTACTGACGCCTCTCGATGGCAATGTTTAGAGCTGTTTGTCCTGGGATGGAGGAACAAATCCAGAATCATCATCTTGGTTTGCAAGTTTCCATATTAAAAATATATATAATAATAGTAGTAATAGTAATAGTAGTAATAATAATAGTAATAATAATGATGATGATGATGATAATAGTAATAGTAGTAGTAATAGTAGTAATAATAGTAATAGTAGTAATAGTAATAGTAGTAATAGTAATAGTAGTAATAATAATAGTAATAATAATAATAATAGTAATAATAATAATGATGATGATAATAGTAATAGTAGTAGTAATAGTAGTAATAGTAATAGTAGTAATAATAGTAGTAGTAATAGTAAAAGTAGTAATAGTAATAGTAGTAACAACAACAACAAAACAACAAAACAACAACAATAATAACAACAGCAATAACAACAGCAATAATAATAATAATAATAATAATAATAATAATAATAATAATAATTCAGATTGGTGTTTCTCAATGCTGGCCACTTTAAGAGGGGTGGACTTCAACTTCCAAAATTCCTCAGCCAGCCTGCTTTAAGAAGGGTGGACTTCAACTCCCAGAATTCCCCAGCTTATTTACTTTGAGATGGATGGACTTCAAGTCCCAGAATTCCTCAGCCAACATGCTTTAAGATAAGTGGACTTCCACTCCCAGAATTCCCCAGCTTATTTACTTTAAGATGGATGGACTTCAACTCCCAGAATTCCCCAGCCAGCCTGCTTTAAGAAGGGTGGATTTCCACTCTCAGAATTCCCCAGCCAACATGTTTTAAGATGGGTAGACTTCAACTCCCAGAATCCTCCAGCCAGAATGCCCTAAGACCTGTGGATTTCAACTCCCAGAATTCCTCAGCCTGCTTACTTTAACATGGGTGGACTTCAACTCCCATGTAAGCTGGGCAATTCTGGGAGTTGAAGTCCATACTCCTTAAAGTGGCCAAGCTCGAAAAACCCTGATTTAAATGGTAAACCTCCTTTGTTTTTGGACTTGCTGTGAGCCTGTGTCATTCATCCAATTGTGGTTTCTTCCATATTAACCTTCCATCAAGCTTCTCTTTCAAAAATTATCTTCCAGGAAGCGTCTTTATGCTTATAATTTGCTTCCTTGGCTAACTTGCAGTACAGTTTTTTTTCCCTGTCCACCCTGGACACTTATTCTATGACATTAAATGTTTGTTGTGGCTATGACACACTTGGGGTGTTGCTAAACGTGGTTAAACCTTTACACAAACATGGTTTACCTATTCAAGCTTTGCTCTTTCCCATTTTCGGGGCTCTCCAGAAGCAATGGGGGTACACTGAGGCCCAAGGAAATCTCAGGAATGGAGCCCGCTTTTGGGAGCCACATATTCTGGGATGTCAGATGTACCCCGTTTTTACAATAAAAAGAAGATGGCCAGGAACATCCATGCTGGAGGAGGTCAGAAAAATCTGGAAGCTTTCAAGAAAAGACTGGTATGCCATTGGTCAAAAATGGTGTAGGCAGGGTCTCTTGCTTGGACAGGGGGTTGGACTAGATGACCTACAAGGTTCCTTCCAACTCTGATCCGATTTTTGAATCATTGCACCGTGGAGGCTGCCATTTTGACTTTTTTCACCTCTACCATGAGGCGTTAATAACAGATCTCAACCTGAAATGATGTATCTGAAGAAACTGGGATAACTTTTGCTAGTCTATGATTTAATCTATAGGTACTCCTTGATTTACAGCCACAAGAGCCCACAATTTCCGTTACTGAGCGAGGCTTGTGAGTTTTGCCCCATTTTACAACCTTTCTTGCCACCGTTGTTAAGTGAATCACCACAGTTGTTAAGTTAGGAACACGGTTGTTAAGTGGATCTCTCTTCCCCGTGGACGTTGCTGGCCAGAAGGTCGCAAAAGGGGATCAGGTGATCCCTGGAACACGGCAAACGTCATAAATACGAGTCAGTTTCCAACTATCTGAATTCTAATAGTGTGACCATGGGGACACTGCCACGGTTGTAATTGTGAAAAATGGTCATTTCTTTTGGTGATATTGTAACTTTGAACAGTCACTGAATGGACTGTTGTAAGTCAAGGACTTACAAGAATGAAAAATAAGACAGTAACGTGGTCCTCAACACCAATAAGACCAAGGAGCTTATAGTGGACTATAGAAGGAACAGATCAGACATTCAACCCTTGCTTAACCATGGAGACCAAATGGAGCAAGTGGCCAGTTTTAAGTTTCTGGGTGTTACCATAAAAGAGGACCTGACCTGGGGTGGTCACACTGCAGCCCTGGTCAAAAGGCCCCCGCAGAGATTATACTACCTGAGACTTCTCAGGAAACAACTGAATGAAAAACTGCTGGTGACCTTCTACCGCTGCACCAGAGAGAGCATTTTAACATACTGCACCTCTGTCTGGTTTGCCAATTGCACAGGGGCAGATAGGGCAGCCACTCCAGAGGGTGAAGGTCATTGCCCCTCAGAGGATCATGGGTTGCCCTCTCCCCTCTTTGGAAGAGCTTTATAGCTCCCGCTGCCTTAAGAAAGTTCAAAACATCCTCAAAGATCCATCTCATCCTGGGCACCCCCCCTTTTTTTTTAACTATTACCATCTGGCAGCTGGTACAGGATAATTAAAAACAAGGACAAATAGGCTGAAAAACAACTTCTATCCCAGGGCAGTAGCTCTTTTGAATTCTGCTGTATAATAGTGCAATATGAATGCAATATCAGGGGTTTTCCATTCAATGTGTGGAGTGTGAAGGATGTGTGTTTGTGTTTATTTTCATGGTCGTGATGTGCACTGAAGATGGTGTTTGATTTCATGGTACGAGGTGCAATGACAATAAACTAAAACTAAAACTAAAACTAAAACTAAAACTAAAACTAAAACTAAAACTTAAACTTAAACTTAAACTTAAACTTAAACTTAAACTTAAACTTAAACTAAACTAAACTAAACTTATACTTCCATTTATCTTCTGGGTGAATTTCTCACTAGGCTGAAGGTATTGTGGGAGTGGTACAGCCTAGAAGTGGACATCTTTCGCCTCACAATCAGGAGGTTGAGAGTTCGATCCTCAGTAGAGGCAGATATTTCTCTCTCTGGGCATGATGAGAATTTATCTGCTGTATATAACTCCGCACTAGCGACAGGAAAGGCATCCGGCCAGTAAACACTCAGCTCCAATCAGTTGCCCAGAGTCCACGCTGCAAGGGATTATGGGGTCGTTAAAAGGAGGAGGAGGAGGATTGAGGGCATTGTGTGAGTGCTATCATTTTTTCTCCGCTATCCAGCCAAAATACAGGTAGTCCTTGACTTACAATAGTTCATTTAGTGACCGTTCGAAGTTACAACAGCCCTGAAAAAAGTGACTTACGACCGTTTTTCATACCTATGACCACTATGGCAATCCCCAGGGATCGCATAGTTTTCCTTCAGATGCTTGACAATTGACTCACATTTATGACAGTTGCAGTGTCCTCGGGTCACGTGATCCCCTTTGGCGACCTTCTGACAAGCCTAGTCAACGGGGAGTGTGTGTGTGTGTGCGCGCCAGATTCACTTAACAACCGGGTTACTTAATTCAAGAACCGCAGTGATTCGCTTAACAAATGTGGCGAGGAAAGTCACAAAATGGGGCAAGACTCACTTAACAAATTTCTCACTCAACAACATAAAATTTTGGGCTCAGTTGTGGTCTTAAACTTAGACTCTAGAAAGAGTGCAGAGAAGAGCAACCAGGATGATGTGAGGACTACAGGCTAAAACATACGATGAACGGTTGCAGGAACTGGGCCTGGCTAGTCTAGGGAAGAGAAGGACCAGGGGAGACAGGAGAGCAGTCTTCCAATATTTGCGAGGAGGGGGTCAAGCTATTCTCCGAAGGAAGGAAGGAAGGAAGGAAGGAAGGAAGGAAGGAAGGAAGGAAGGAAGGAAGGAAGGAAGGAAGGAGAGAAAGAAAGAAAGATGAGAGAGAGAGAGATGGAGAAAGGAAGGAAGGAAAGAGAAAGAAAGAAAGAAAGAAAGAAAGAAAGAAAGAAAGAAAG